ACGAAGTTGTGCAAAAAAATTACGCAAAACTGCGTTTTCGAATTCGTAATGATAGGATCCAAGAGATAACTAGAGGAAATGCTCAAAATTATGGATATCATGGAATAAATTGCGCCTCCTACTGGCTAAATTATAACCTGTTTTGAAATAATTTCTCGTCTTTCCCTTCCTTTTCTCTTTTTTTGCAACTTAAAATTATTTATGAAATAAGCTTGATGTAATAATTGAAACGACTTACCCAGGTTTGGGTCATTTTTCGGTCACTATAAATAGGCTTATTTTATATATAATTTTAAGAAACTAGTAGGTTTGGCTCCCAGTAATAAATAGCGTTACTTTCAGGCTTAGGCCAGTGATTTAATTTTGCTGCTAAAGAAAGCAATCCCTCCAGAACTTGTTTTGGTGATAAATTGGATTAGTGCATGCTAGCGAGTTAAAACCACCATCATTTTCGCTTTCACGTAGTGCTTAGTGAGATTTCCGTTTCCATAATGCGATTATTTCATAAAAGACGACTTGTCAGGAGGGAGGGAGAGGAGGGGTGCTCTTAATAGTGTGCTATCATCCGGACAATTTCTAAATGCGCCCGGCCGTAAAACAGATTTAAAAATAGGAAGGGATTTATTTTCGTGGTAGTTTTTTATAATTATAAGATAGCTTTTTCAAAAAAAAGAACAACAATATAAACAAATTGCGTATTTGATGAGCTGAAATGTATAGAATGAGACGCATCCATTTCACACAAAGCAATTTTCAAAAAATCCATAAAACCACATCCTATACACACCAGTCATTAAACAGATTCACTAGCAGAAGCGCCAGTATGCAATAAAATTATGGGAAAACTACATTTTCGAATTCGTGATAATTCTTCCAAGAAATATTTAATGAGCTATGATTATTTACGTAACTATGATTATTTACCTCCCCCTCCCCCTCGCTTTTTTGCTTTAAATTTTTTTCCAGAGAATATGTGGTGCGATTTAAAAAAAAAAAATTTGCAGGACGAAAATATCGTTATTGACTTGGTGACTGGCGAAACATCTCTGATTGATTTTGGCGCCGCAACAGTGCTCAAGAAGGGTCATTACACGGATTTTCAAGGTGCAGCTAGCTGTCCCTTTTTGCTTTGTTTCCCCAATTTTATTTTCCTCCTCATTTCTCCGTTCTTTGTTATTTGTTTATTATCGTTTATTTGTTTCCTGGTCTATTGTTGCTCGTTTTCCGTGCTCGACTGCTTATTCGTCTGCTAGCTCAATTAGCTCTTTCTCATCCTCCTTATGCGTTTTTGCCGTGCAGCTAGAGCGCTGCAACAGGCAGCAAAAACGCATATTGGAACGATCCTGTCAGTGTGTGTGTGTGTG